ATATTTTCAGAAGAAGGACAAGTGCAGACTGAGCTAGCCCGCATCATTGATTTCAGATGGGTGCGCCGGGGTGGCAGAGTCATACCAGAGGCATTAGTTGTTTGGCGTAACCTTCCGGAAGAGGATGCAACCTGGGAATCCTACTTAGATCTGCAATCAAATTTTCCTACATTAGACCATGAGGGCAAGGTCGCTCTAAAGGAAGGGGGGGTTGTCAAGACTGCTGGAACAGACCAACAGAAAACAGTTAATCAGTTTTACAAGAGGAGGCCATGTCAGCACAACTAACCATCCACTTGCAACAACTGTAACAGAAAGACAATCAAGATTGTAAAACTACAAGTAGTAGAGCAGAAAAGGAATAAGACATTGATTCTTTCAGCATTAAACTCTCTCTCCCTCTCTTTTTTTTTCTCTCTCTTCTTCCAAGAATTCAGGAGGTTGGCCCCTCGAAGAGCCCTGAGTTAGGCAGGTTCCTAACACATCTAGATATGGAAATGGTTTCATTTTCAAGTTGGTTTTAAATTTTGCACTTCATTTATATCAATGAGAAAATAATTATTATTTATCGTACTTATTTTTGTTTATATAATTTTATAGATGTGCCCAAAATTGTTTCATATTCTTTTGTAATATTCTATTTTAAAAAAATTATTTTTAATTATACATCATGGGTTAACCTATTTGACCTGAAAGGTTGAACCATTATCCCACCCCCTAGATAGGAAGATGGTTTAATTTCCCATTGGTTTTAAGTTGTATATTTGATGTCCATCATTAATAAAACTGTCTATTTTATCATACTTATTTTTTAATATGATATACATAATAATAGAAATATGTCCAATTTTTTCAAATTTTCCTATATTTTTGTATTTTTTATATTTATAAATTTGTATTATTTATTTATGACATCATGAAATTATCCATTTGACATAAATGGTTGAAGTACTTAACCATGACCTAGATGGAAAATATGATTTCATTTCTAGGTTTATTTTAAAAGTACACAATTTTATTCTATTAATAATTACTGTTTATGGATTTATTAGTGGAATTTAATGATGATAAAAAAGTATTTTTTAAATTTCTAAATTTGTATTATTTATTTATGACAACATGAATATATCATTGATAAAATAATTATTGCTTATCATACTTATTTGTGTTTATATTATTAGTATATAATATTATAGATGTGCCCAAAATTGTTTCATATTTTTTTGTACTATTCTATTTTAAAAAAATATTTTTAATTATACATCATGGTTTAACCTATTTGACTTAAAAAGTTGAACCACTAACCCACCCCCTAGATATTAAGATGGTTTAATTTCCCATCAATTTTAAGTTGTATATTTGATGTCCATCAGTAATAAAATTATGTCTATTTTATCATACTTATTTTTTAATAAGACAAATATATAATAATAGAAACGTGTCCAATTTTTTTCAATTTTTTCTATATTTTTGTATTTTTTTATATTTATAAATTTGTATTATTTATTTATGACATCATGAAATTATCCATTTGACCCAAATGGTTTAAGTACTTACACACGACCTAGATGGAAAAAATATGATATCATTTCTAGGTTTATTTTAAAAATATAAAATTTCATTCTATTAATAATTATTGTGTTTAGATTTATTAGTGGAATTTAGTAATCATAAAAAAAACATTTTTATATTTATAAATTTGTATTATTTATTTATGACATCATGAAATTATCCATTTGACCCAAATGGTTGAACTACTTACCCACCACCTAGGTGAATATAAAATTTTATTCTATTCATAATTATTGTGTATGGATTCATTAGTGGAGTTTAATGATGATAAACATAAGTACAAATGTTGGATTCAATGAGAGAGAATGTGATTTATTTAATGACTTAGATGTGAGAGTTAATGAGAGGTAATTGAATGTACTTAATGGTATTCTTTTAATTACATTTTCCGCCCTTTCAATGGAAATGAACTAAATTCAAGAGGAGGGATATTTTAGTAAAGAAAAATTCCATAAGCCAATACCACCTCATTCACACTTTTATAAGTAGAATAGATATGCATATTATATTTGAAAGATGTAGGGAAACATGAACTTTTAATAAGTTTTTTATATGCAGAAAATATGGACTATTCATCCTTAAATGACTGCAACAAATACTTGACCAAACTTTTGAATTCACTTTATTCTTGGAGTTGAACTGGAGATGAACTTTCCTCAATACTTATGCCATATGCATATTTACTAACTATTGGGAAGATTGGTATCATATTTACAAGATTATGACATCTGCACGGCCCCAAGTGACTAAGATTAAACATAATAACTAGTAAGGAAAACATTCCAACCTTTGTTCTGTCTGATGTCATGTTAAGTAATGCTGAAAGGTTGTAATATGATCCATCTGAAGCAAATGCCTTGACATTAACTCTCTCCTGCAAAGGAAATTAAAATTCCATAGGTTTAACATATTGAAAAGACTTTGAATATTGAAATAACAAGGAATAGTAAGGGGAAATGATTATAAATCCAAAGGTCCTTTCACCTTGTTTTCCAGTTCAAGAAGTGATATTCCAGGACTGTAATATTCAGAATGGCGAATGGTAACAGCAATTCCCACACGGGGGGATAAATATGTGTCATTTCGAGATTGAAATTGAAAAGCACCAGTTCGGCCTGCATAATCTTGTGGAGATAACATGATGGTGCTTTGACTTGAATCCTCAATTACCTCTAGCACTTGAATGTTTTTTCTTGCTCCAGTGAATCTCCCGTCATTTGAACTGGCAGAATTTTTCAAGATTTTTGCTGATCTAACTGCTCTGGGGAGTAGAAGGGAATCATTCTCAAAACTGTCCCCAGGTTCAATTTCCACCACCCGGTATGCTAACGGTAGAGATGAATCATTACTAAGCCAATATGGAACAAAAAACCTGAGCGTTTTTGGTGCAGCATTAGTTCCTCCCATGTCACGTTCAATGCTCACACGAAGTCTCCTGGACAATGATGATCATTGAGAGTAAATCAAATAGTATCACTTTAAAATTCCATAAACAAACGATATCCTTTTTTCATGTATAATTCTATAAACAGAGCCAGTCATAAAATGGCTGGTACATAAAACATGTCATTGAGAAGTGAAACATATTTATTCATAATGTATGATCACCCTTTTCATAATTATTCATTGAGAAGTGAATCATAATATATAAATGTGTATATATATATATATATATATATGGACAAAATTTATAAACAATAAGGACAAAAAAACATAATATAATTTTATATTGCTTCTTTGATATGACATGGGTTTGAATCCTACCAGTGTAAATTATTTTTTGGATAAATTACAAAGACCCCATGTACTATGGGGTTAGTCACAATTACCCCCTGAACTTTCATTTGCGACAAAGACCCCACTGAACTTTCACTTTGCGATAAAGCTGTCAAGTCAGATGATGGAATGCACTAAAATTACCGAAATACCCACCTGAACTCTCTGTATTTTCTTTACCTCACCCTTTTCTCTTAAACCCTAATTGACCCAAAACTACCTCCCTTTTCTCCAAATGCAACCAGCTAAAATAACAAGAATCATTTCATTGACATGAATGCCTCTCTTCTTCTTAAAATATAAAAATTATCCTCTCCTTTCTCTAATAAACCAAGAGAAATCAAACGAAGCCTTAAATTTTATATCTATCAGAAAAAAACTTCTACCATTTCATTTGAATATTGAATCCAGCCAGAAATATGCAAAGATCTATTAGAGCAACCGAGAGGAATTCAAATGAGAATCTTTTTTGAAGTTAACTGACAGAATTCTGATGGAGAAGCGTATTTGTTGCAAAGTGAATTCAGGGGGGTCTTTGTTGCAAATGAAAGTTCAGGGGTAATTGTCATTGATCCCATGGTACAGGGGGGTCTTTATAATTTACCCTCATTATTTTTCCATAAAATCTAAACGCTACAGGTGTCTGAACCATTCAAATGAGACAAGAATAAGTTTAGTGGGCATGTTCAGATGATCCACATGCCCAAGAAAGAATGATATCTATATTAGCTTGCTATAAGAAGATGAAAGGACAATTCTGCCCCTCCCAAGAAACAAAGAAAGAAAATGAACAAATACATAAACTTACATATGATGCAATACATATGATACAGGACATAACCATACTTCCATGCTTATGATACACGATCTCTACAACAAGAATAATACCATATAACTCTTAACTGTTCAGTTTAGAAATTTAAACCAATGGTATTTCAAGAGAAAGCCATTCCTGTTGTTTCTTGCACCTATATACAGTAATGAGGAGTGATCACGTGTATGGTGCATGTGCCTTAGAAGAAATGGATTATCAACTATGTGGTAGACGGGCAAATGGGTAAAAACAAAGCATGGACAAGACAGAACATGAACAATAGAACAAGCCATTTTTACACACATTTGTATGCACTTGTATGCTATTCTTGTATTTATTTATTTGTGCAATATGCCAATACAAAACAAGGCATTCTTTTTTAACATAAATTTCTGTTTTACCCTTATATAAACCTTTGTATTCAACATTAGCATGATAGATACTTGAGGCTCAAGCCTTATACATTACGGAGATGTGGCTGTATATTACAACTAGGGGTAAGGCATATTAATGGAAAAATAAAGGAACCTAGGGCTGGTACTGATGAATATGATAAGTGGGACCAAGAGAACCTCGTGATTATGTCCTGGCTCTTGACATCAATGTTACCACCTGTCAAACAGAAATTTATGTGCCGACACAGAAAAAGAAATATGGGAACAAGCGAAGGCAACATACTCAGAACAAAGGCACTATGCTAGAAATTATCAATTACAAGCAGAATCTTCAACATGTAAGCAAGGAGAAAGAAGCTTACCAGCCTACTATTGTGCCCTCACTTCAGTTTGGAAAGAGTTGGATTACTACCAAAGCATTGAATGAGAGAGTGAGAAAGATGCCAAAGCCTATAAACAATTGGTCGCCCAGCAACGGGTGTTTGGTTTTCTACTAGGCCTTAACCCCATGTATGTGCCCATTTGGGTACAGATTTTAAACCCTAGGTTATTTAGAAAACCTTAAGTTATTTAACTTTAATACTAGTAAAAATATCTCAAAGACAAAACTCCATTATTGAGACTCTTTAACCAATAGGTAAGTTTGCACTCTACAAGCAATGTTTTTATCAGCTCAGCGAGCCTTTTTCTTTTTTCCATCTGTCTTTTCTCTCTTAGTCTCTTCTTTCTTGTCTTTCTTTTCTTTCTTTTTTGTTCAGATTTTTTTCTTTTTTAATCATTATATGATTTATTCCTTTCTGTATGCATGTGGCGTGTTTCTTATTTAGCTCCTATTTGCAATTTCCTTTTTTCTCTTTTAGTTTTAATAAAAAAAATATAGATGGTTTGTGGAATTTTAGCAATATATTGGCAATATAGGGATAAAACGATTCCAAGATAGTTTTGTACCACCCCTAGCTATTTTCTTATGCATCGACGATATTTCACAATATATCGACAATATTTCAAATCATGCTTGATAGAAGACAACTGCAGCAGCAGGTCCACCCACCATCCCAGCCCAAACCACCCAAGTGTGGGATGCCTTGGCTTGACAAATCCCAAAAAGGGGCAAAATTGGGTTTATAAAAACAAATTAGCCACATGTGATATCACATACAAACAGATCTTGAAGAATTGAGTAGAAGATCAAGACTGCAATCAGTCTTGAACCCTAATAGATATTAAGTTTAGAAAAGCAGAAGAAAAGTAAGAAGAAGGAGAAGGAAGAGAAGAGAAACAGAAGAACACAAGGGTTTGAAAGGAGGGACAGATTCTAACACATCTGCCGCCGCCACTCCCTTAGTATTTATAGGTTATGTTCAGTACATAGAGGAAAGGACAGATCTGCCCTTAGTACTTRCATGACAAATAAAGTAAATAAAAACTGAAATAAACAACAACTGAAATAACAAACTGACCCCAAATGACACTACTATGACTGAAACAAATAACTACACATGCTGTCCTACGAACACAATGGGGACCACTGCTGTGGGGCCCACATCAGTATTCTCAACACTCCCCCTCAAGTTGGGAGTAGATATTTATCATTTCCAACTTGGATAGGTCTGTCTCTAACTTCTTCCTTGGTACAGCCTTGGTGAGGATATCCGCGAGCTGCATATTAGATGTGATATACGGGTGACACACTTCTTGTGATGTGACCCTCTCTCGCACAAAATGTCGATCAACTTCGATATGTTTAGTTTTGTCATGCTGCACTGGGTTGTGGGCTATATTAATAGCTGCCTGATTATCACAATACA